CAGTCTTCTCCTATCGCGCAAGATGCACCAATTCATTTTACATCATTTCCCTATTTTCACTGTAAAACTGCAGTTACTCATTATCGACTGCATTCTCCGCTATACAAGAAAACACATCCAAGCGCATATCAGACACTTATACAGTCTTGCCGTGCAGTATTGGATGACGAGGTTAATTGCAGCCACTACAGTATGCATGTCTAGAGTCTGGTGTGTGATATATCCAATGCTTCCACCTCTTTCATTAATTCGTACGGTATAATGGCCAGCGGTATCTGCGATGAAGTATCATAATGCATATATTGGGTGCAGTGAGCGGTGTGTGCGAAGTAAAGTAAAACTGGTGATAAAAGATGTATTGGGTGGCATGTCATGCCCGCGGCTGGCGCTGTTTCAAAGGACCGCCGGTGTGAAGCGTTAGAACCGCGTTTGGTGCGGCCAAAGCGCGACTACGTAAAGAATCAGTAGAGGTGCTTTATCTCTGCGTGCCCAAAGCGACTCATTTCTGCATGGATAGTTCCTGAGTTGCCATAGACATTTGATATGCATCTTCCTCACTCAAATGTCGCCGTGACTGTGCTGAACGGTCTCAGAGCACAGGAGTCCCTGAGAGTCATGCATCCCCCCCCCCTGCTCAGTAGACCGGTTAGTAGAGACTCAACAAGCGACTATTTCAACCCTAGACTGTACTGGGCGGTCTGGGATAGGAGGTCGTTATGTAGAGCTGCGTACAAACCCCATTTGAACCGCGGTTTGACTATAGAGAGCCTTGTCTGTTTGTCTATTGTGGCGCTATGTCTGCAGATGTTTCTATCTTAGCATGTTCGCCTTCTATATTTACGTTGCGAGAAATAGAATCCCAAAAAAGAGTTCAGTGCTATCACGGCGGCACGTCAACCTCTAGGTCTCAGCACGAGCCAATTTCCCGAGGTCGGTGCATCAAGCAGGGCGGTGACGGCATACGTCAGGTACTCGGAAGCTTCAGCACGAAATGGAAACAAAACCTAAACGACTTTTTTGATCAGGTAACTTCCGCGAAGAAAATCAACGGTTTAGATAGCGAGTGCATAGCAGACGTTTTTTTTCTTGTCGAGTAGCAGTCATTGCCCTAAAGCTACTAATACTGTGCATTTCCCGACGGAGCCGCGTGGTGGCGGTGACGCACGAACAAAAACAGTGTTGTGTGAGAGGTGTTGTTGTGGCGCGGACCAGACCACCGCCGGCAGCCAAGCCGTCCAGCCCACACCAGCCTCCGTCACAGTCGCTTCCAAACTTGTGGGAACGAATTTTATATGCCGAACAATGACTGAGTGATGGCATAATTAGTAGTTTATGATTATTTATGACATATTATCTTGCCTGTGTCTTCATCTGGACGCTAGGTGTAGGGTGTTAGACTCGCGAGATTACACCGTCCGTGAGGAAAGGTGCAATTACTCACTCAACTGAAACCCACCAAATTAGCATCGAGGAAACTGCTTTAAAGATGACATAACTGCCTACACACTTGAAGATCTATACCAAGCATATTGAATTGCTTACTAGCAGCAAAGTATCGCTATTCAAGTCTGTTAATCCACTAATTAAGAGAGTTGCAGAGCAAGTGATGAATGTGTAGAGCATAAGGTACGGCGCTGTGCAGGAGGAGGCAGCCGAGGTTCAAGGTCATGGTGTGTTTGTGCAAGCTTGAGGGGGAAGCGTGGGGGGGGGGGATACCTTAAACCTGGAGACCGACATCTAAGTTCATCTTGAGGTATTCTATACTTATTTATATTTAGCTCGTGTTGTCAAGTCGCATGTGCCGAAATTTGCCCACATAATGCTATACTGAATCGAATATATATTTTAACTTGTCGTTATCGGTTCGAAACTATCACGATGTTAATAATAATAACATCCGTGCATAAAACCTGCAACAATTTTCAATAACTGATAGTGACATTATCTTCCCCGATTTCGTCCGGGTGATCTGCACAATCTCCCCTGGGAAGACATCATGTGCTTTGAAATCTTCCCGGATTTGCTATTTTGGTCCCTGTCTCTGTCCTTATATTGTATCTAAATCATTAGTAAGCAAAATGACAGAGGCAGAAATAAGCTAGTATTTTTTTCTTCTTTTAGGGTCATATGTATAGTTTCCGGGTTCACCATCACTAGGCAGGAGGCGGGTCAGAGGGCGGGCGGGGTGGGGAAATAGGCGGGGATTCAGCTCCATCCCGGGCCTTTTTCTGCTGGTTGCGGGGGGGAACGTTTTTGCAAAAGGAACGGATCCGAGCGTGAATAAGGTCACGTAGTTAGTCATGGCAGGGGAGTCAGGAAGTGCAAGCTTCAATGACAACATGGCAAGAGCCGGTTCTGTCAACAGCCGAGATTTCCCTTCCGTCAACACTCGGTCTGGTGTCAAGCCGGGGATGATGGAAGTGGCAAGGAGCGAGCGGGGGACTTGCGAGACACTTCGGGAAGGGCGCTTGTGTTTGCGGATTTGCCGAACAAAGTGCTGCGGACGGGCGTAAATATGAAGTGACAGATGTGATGGAGTGGTTGCGGGCGGCTTTTTAGATTTGGAGAACTAGATAAGCGTGAATTTGTTTTTTGTTTCTCTTCCATGATATAAACTAAAATGACTGATATCTTGAAGTTGAGAAGAAGAAATTGGCTGATATCTTGAATGGTTGAGACTGCGACTCGAAGAGGGGAGACGGCAGCAAGATAAGGCAATACGTTATAATAATGACGATAATAATAAGTGAACACGAGGGCGGACCGAGGCGGGAAGGCAAGAAGGGCGGGCATGAAGGTGGAATGTCTGAGTAATGACAGGAAGAGAGTGCGTGTGGCTAGAGGGCTTCCAGTTATGTTTCTGCACTGCACACACACACACACACACACACACACACACACACACACACACACACACACACACACACACACACACACACTCGTCTTGTGTACAGATGACTGTTCTCTTTGGAGTGGAAAGATGTAGTATTTGGATATGCAGTTTAGCCACACTTAAGGAAATACGTGATTACAGCCCCCCGGTCGTTGGCTGCAAGATTTATTTTTCTTAATGACAGCTTGTATATGTTCCGATTGTTGTCTTATATGCACACCTCTGGTACCACTGCCTTCTTGTTGGCTGGATGTTATTATGTAGCTACACGCAGTTCCGTTTTCTTTTTTGTTCTGGCCATAATGCTTACACGGGCTGAATTACGCATTCGTATGCGATTTATAAAAAGTTTACGATTGCATACGGTCAATATCAAGATGAACTGAATTGTAAAAATATTACTATAAACTTTTTATAATGACGTATTGGTGATCGTTGCTGTCTGATTATTCATTCATGATTAATTTATGCGGTATGTCATGAGGCATCGCAAGTTCAGCTCATGCAAGCTTTGTTCCAGCCAAGGCAGGCGCGCTGAATAGTCGTCCTCCCTCATAACGCATCCAAAACGAGACGGATGGGCGGCGTCCCGTCCAAATGCGGCCCGGGCCATGCCTGGGTTGGAGCGGTCACCAATACATTGCATTCATGGCGTGTAGTCTTGGTGGAGGACAAATACAAAGATCATTATGCGACGGACACACGTAGGACATGGGAGAGGGGCCATTCAAGGGAGGGAAATGTGGGGCTCGAGTGACGTCTCCCTTTTCGCGCCTTGAGACTCGAAGCTCCAAGGATATAGAGCAGCGAAGGCGTGAATCATACCGCGATTAGGAACTACTAACTGGAAAGAATGGGAGAGTAAAATGACTCGTCTTTCGCGATGTGTTTGTCATGACACGGCGCAGGGGAGGTGGATTCGGCGGGGCGGTCCTTGGGAAGAGCCGGAGGAGGAGAAATGCCGTTAGGATATTCGTGTAGATAAATTCTGTATAGTTGTCGCGAAAGTACACATCATAAAAAAAGAACGGCTTACTGTAGACTCCATCTTTCCTGGCGGCAGTGCTGGAGTGGTGGCGACGTCGGTGGCGGTGAAGCAGCGTCGTTGCTCAAGGCCGCCTGCCGCCCACCGCCTCCAACGCCCACCTCTACTACTGTTACCACCCACCTTCGCGGTAATTAGCACCTCGTCGTTAACCTATCGCCTGTGCATGAACCATCTCATCAAAACCCAATAGCGCTTAAATGGCTGCACAAGATACTGCATCTGTCGGTTCTGAGTAGCGAATGGCCAGTTCCGGGGGTCCGCCTCATCCAGAACAATATAAATACCTTGCAACTCGATATAAATAAAAAGACGTTAGAAAAACAAACACCAAAGCTGAGCTATCCGTGAGCAGAGGGTCGCCGTGGGCCGAGCGGTCAAGGTCACCGCGGGGCCAGGTGTGATACGCTCAGGAATTCCAAGTGGAAAACCAATGGCTGTTTGTCGCATCCATAGCAGGAATATGGCTTGTCATAATATGGGAACACTGGGATTCTGGCTTTGTTTCATACATTTACTGTCAGTCCTTCAAATTCACTCAATTTAACGAGTAAAGGAAGTCGTGTTTACGCCACAGGAAGTCTGGAATTGGTTAACGAATGTTTCTGTGGTTACGATTTTTTTTGCAATGCATCCAGTACGTCTTGGAAAAGGAGTAAGTTCGTTGTTGGCGAATGCGATGTAAAGCCCTCTCTGTGTAAAGGAGCATTGGTTTTATCTCAGTTACCACGTTTGTTTATTTTCCTTCCCTGTAATGATCACAACAACAACACGGCAGCTTCGGCGATTAAAATAGCCTTGGAGATGGTGACGACAGTGTCTTAATGAGCAGTGTCCGGGGCAGTGCAGGAGGCGCGGGCAGTACAGTTGCGGCGAGCGTGGTGCAGAGTGTGGTGCTGCCCCGCCACAGCCAGCGAGCCCGCACTCTCACACTCGCAGAGTCTTGCGTCACACGCGCACGCACGCCACTCCACGCCGTCTGGGAGATGTACTTTGGTTCGCAAGTGATGCACCGGGATTGAGTGTCTGTGTTAACAATTGTGCATTTCCTTTTCTCAACAGAACTTGCAGTGAAGTGAACATGATGTGAGGCGGCCACAACGGCACGTTAGCCGGAATTACGGACTAAAGGCTCGCAAGACTAACTGGTTCAGACACAGTGGACGAGTGTCTAATCAAGAAGAAAGCATTTTCTCAGTGAAGAAAGTTTCAGAAAAAGTGGAAACATGTCGCAACGCATGCAGGAGAGTCCCTTCCGCGAAACGGAATGGGATCAGCGCCTTGGTGAGTACCACTTGACCCTTTTGACCTTCGTAAACATAGCTGTTGTCGCGGCGGTAGGCCTACTTTCACCCAACTTCAGCCTCTTCTCCCCATCTATCCCGCAGCCATTATACCAGTTGCGTTTCCTGTTCAATATATCCAGCCATCTCTGCCCTATCGTCTGCCACCGGCCTTCCTTACTTTTCCTTCCTCGTCTGCCTTCAACCTGCTCCTCGGCATCATTGCTATTCAACTCCTCAGCGCCTTACGTTCTCCGAGACTCCATTTTAGCTTACCTGATTTTCTCCCTTGCACGATATTCTTCCACGACATCCATTTTACTGCCTCATTGCACTACTAGAATCTAGTTTAAAAGCACATCCACAGTCTTTCCTCCTCCTGGCCGCGAGAAAGACCCAGTCGGCGCTCGCCTTCGCAAAACTCACTGAACTGAACCGACCCCCACCCCTCCCTCGCTTTTCGTCCCCCCCTCCCCCGTACACCCTGCCCAGCCCTGCGGAATATCCTTCGGGTCTCTTAATCCTGGAAATCCCAGGCTGTATGACCATAACCCCCTCTCTTTTTCTTCTTGTTCCCCCTTTTCTCTCGTCATTTTCGGTCTGTGTGTCTGTTTTGTATGTTGTATCTCTTCTCTCTCTCTCTCTCTCTCTCTCTCTCTCTCTCTCTCTCTCTCTCTCTCTCTCTCTCTCTCTCTCTCTCTCTCTCTCTCTCTCTCTCTCTCTCTCTCTCTCTCTCTCTCTCTCTTCTCTCTCTCTCTCTCTCTTCTCTCTCTCTCTCTCTCTCTCTCTCTCTCTCTCTCTCTTCTCTCCTCTTCTCTCTTCTCTCTCTCTCTCTCTCTCTCTCTCTCGTCTTCCCCTTCCTCGGCGTGCATACAACTCAAGTTATCAAATTACATTTTTTCTCACAGTCTGCTGGTTACAGGATATAGGATTAATGTTGAATCTACTCTTACGTGAATCCGACAAGACTTAATATCAAAGCTAAGTAACACTGAATACTATATATTTTCATAAAGTCTTTAAAACTACCATCAAACGTACCCACCACTCCTTCACTCCTCCAATGGACCCTCAGACGATACACCAAAATGAACACTTGCGTTCGCATATAACCCAGCGTTGCCATGGTATGAAAAAACAGCAGCAACAAGAGAGAGATGCTGAAGGGGAAAGGGGTGAGAGGCGCTCGGGTAAGGGGGGGAGGGGGATGTGGGAGGAGATGAAGAGAACCAGTACTACCACTCTACTCACTGGTTCATGGAAGAGGCCAGAGGGAAGACTAGAGGTTCTGAGTACCGTGTGGTCTCGTTCGTATTCAGTTTAAATGTTTGAGAAATTATCTAGTGACTGTCCTCAAAAAAGACAAAGTTGCCATATCGTCTATTCAATCTTTTTGGTCATTGTTTACAAAGGAAGCTTACTGTTGAATGTGAATTTAATCTTGTACTTTCTTGAGCGAAATCAATATTTGGGACAAAAAGAGGAAACAGGGAGAGAGAGAGAGAGAGAGAGAAAAAAAAAAACAGAAATCGTAACTCGTATACTAGGACATCCATCCGGGACTTTCACAAAGCTCACAGTACAGGGTTTGGGAAGCAATTACCTCAATGAATAGAGACGAAATGTGCTTTGTGTTTGGATTTACGATGTCCGAGCGAAGTGAAAGCTAAATTAAGTTTTCTTACCATGTGCGACGAGGGATATCTTGTTTACCATTTTCTGTTAGATAAAATTGTTAACTGGTTTTACGCAGAACTTATTCAGAAGCTAAATGCGAGGAGGATTCCACGAACGACTGGACAGTAATTACTGCATTGCACATCGTCAGGAATAACCGACAGCTATAATGAAGTAATGAATATGCTAATGGAACAAGAGAGTTAAGCACGCCTTGTTATGGCGTCTATGAGAACATACACGAGAAGAACAAATCATAACAGGGGATAAAATTCAAGGAGACTGTGAGTTGAGGGAGAAAGCAGGAGAGGAACATGCTCGCCGAGGACCTTTATGAATGATAACAAACCTGTCATAACGAACCGGTACATGTGTCCGTGCTAATATTGCTCAACCCGACACCACGGCTCCATGTGTGTGTGTATGTGTGTGTGTGTGTGTGTGTGTGTGTGTGTGTGTGTGTGTGTGTGTGTGTGTGTGTGTGTGTGTGTGTGTGTGTGTGTTGTGTGTGTGTGTGTGTGTGTGTGTGTGTGCGCGCGTGTGCGTGCGTGCGTACGTGTGTGTGTGTGTGTGTGTGTGTGTGTGTGTGTGTGTGTGTGTGTGTGTGTGTGTGTGTGTGTGTGTGTGTGTGTGTGCGTGTGTGTGTGCGTGTGTGTGTGTGCGTGTGTGTGTGTGTGTGTGTGTGTGTGCGTGTGTGCGTGTGTGTGTGTGTGTGTGTGTGTGTGTGTGTGTGTGTGTGTGTGTGTGTGTGTGTGTGTGTGTGTGTGTGTGTTGTGTGTGTGTGTGTGTGTGTGTGTGTGTGTTTGCTTATTTGTGTTTTTTTTGTATTCGTGTTTATGTGTCTTGAAAGATTGTTTGTATTCACCCGCTTGTATCCCTAAGTGGCCCAGTGCAGTTCATGTGTTTAAATCCCGCTACCGCACTGTCCCTCCAGGCAAAGAACTGCCTATGCCTGCATTTCACTGCGGCGGTTCGGCGGAAGACACACACCCGCGAGCAAAGAAAGAACATACAAGTCCAAACTTCGCTCGTAATAATCTTCACCAACCTGGCCCCCAATACAAAGATTTGTGTAATGTGCTACAGCGATTCAGATTTCTCCGTCCAGGGATAAAAGCCCTTTCTTGTACATGTCTATACACAAGTGTTTACGATGTGTGGGGTGTTTTCAGCGTGTATTTACTTAGCGTGTACATGTATATGCCCATCTGATTATCCTTCTCTAAAGTGTATGTTTATATGAAAACGCATCGGCACGTTGGCGAATGCATGGATGTGCTTGTCTCTGTTTACAATCACAAGAGAGCGCCTTGTCAATCATGGTTCAGAGCGTAAAAGGTCAACAAGGCAAGAGAATTAATTAAAACTGACCTATGCCATAGGAGTAAGAGTTGCATTTGCATGGCTGTGTCTGGCATTTCTTTCGTCTGCTTACGAGTCAGGCATTGTGCATTCCGTTCCCCATAACAGATACGCAGTGCTTTCGGAATATTGTGAAGTCCAGCAGAAGTGAATATATATTGGAATGATAAAAATGTAATACACAGTGCCATTTCAATTGTGGCAAGGGGGCGGAGGACTGACCCCTGAGGTGCCACTCGGCCTCGTAAAAGAAGATATTGCAGGCGCTGATTCATGGCACTGGCTGAGTGTGTGCAGAGAGAGCCCGCCCGCGCTCATAAATAGAGTCCAAACGGCACTTTCTCAGACTCTGCCGGAAGTTGGGGACCGCCCCCCGCAGCGCCGAACCAGGCCGGCGATGTCACTTCAGTCTGCAAACAGATCGGTGTCCCCCCACTTGAGATGACGTCACCCCCTCCTCCTATCTGTGCCTTCCTTGCCCTTATCGCGGCGCTGGGGTGATGACCTTTTAATGACGCTCCTTGCAACGCCCTGCAACGCCCCGCCGGAGTCACCCGCCTCCCGCGATGCCCACCTGTCTGACCTTTCGCGTGAACGAGTCGAGTTGTCTTCGTCAGGATTTTATTGGAAGCTGCGCCCGGGGAGGATTAAGGAGAGTCATAAGGACGGTAATCGGAGACGGCGGCGCGACTCGAGCCCCGCCGCCGCCTTCGCCTGTTGGATCATCGACGGAGAAAGATCGAGCGCAAATGAAAACGGAAATATGAATCGATATTGGCTAATGATACTTAAGCCTTTATTCTGAAATTAAAATCTTGCAGTTACGCCTCAGTTCCATGTTTCCGCACACAACTGTTTTATATCGCCTTGCAAATACGCCTACGTTCTGCCATATTCGTCTTCCGAGCGGGCTAAGATGGAAGACACTGCTCTAGATCGCCATTTCGCTTACCGCCTGCGCCTCACGCCTCCGCCGCTGCCAAAAGCGGCCCCGCGAGACAAACCGTCGCCCGCAGTAGCCCTCGCCACCACACCATCGCTAGTTTCACCGGAACTTCTCTAACCAAGCCACTAGTTCGATTCCCTCCATGCCTGGATCCTCGCTACAGCCACCCCTTCCACCTCAGAACTTCGCCGACCCATTCCACCCATTTCATCACTGACTGTGCGCCAAGAGGACCCGTGGAATTTTCTCCGAGTTCAGTTGGTGAGTCTGGCGAGCTTTGTGGGAGACAGGATGCCATAAATCCCCGAGGACGAGGGAGGGCGCTGGAGTTTTCGTCACGATCCTTCTTCCTCGGTGTTAGTGCATGACAGTACCACCCTGGCTGACGGCAATGACACGACCGCCTGTTGAGCGCACGTCTAAAAATAACCAAAACGGTTAAAGTTTGGCCGTCGCGAGGCTTTCCGACGCAGCGTGAAGCATTTCAACGCCGATGGTTTACACAATTTACATTCGGGCTGACGGAAAACACGGTCGCCGCGGAGGTTACTGGGTTTAGCTGCACGCGCGTAAACAGGCAACAAAAATATGTTTTATTGGCACTTTTTAACTTCCGGGAGAAGTTTTGGTCGAGTGAACGAAAGTTAGAAAGCTCACCGTCTTGAAGATTACCGTCATCTGCGCCATGTTCATCATTTTGTCTCATTTAGAACACCACTCACGCACGTACAAACCAACACAAGCACGTACGCACACCTCGCCCCCACAAACATATGTACACTCAAACAAAAACGCATACACACAGCATTCACCCAGAACCTTTTTTTTCATTTTTTCCTCAGTTATGCAACCCACACCCACACGCAGTATCCCACACCCACACATCCATCATCCAGACGTCTTCTCCGCCATCAACAGCTCATTAGCACTCCCTGTATACTCTACATAAGCATTAAACCCGCGCTCAACCTCCGTGCCGCGACGAACCGCTCTGCCGCCCCTCACATCCTGCCAAA